TTTCAGCAGCACCACCTTTTAATTTCTCACCTGTGAACATTAGCCACTCCACTAGTCTGTCAATTGCCACCAGCCACAATATCTTGCAAACCTTTTTATGCTGAGCCCAGTCCTTTCTTTGACAGTCCTTAGTGCAGTAGTATACATTCAAACACCTGGTGGAAAACCGAAGAACAATGGTAACATAGTGAAAAACTGGTGTGGGGAAGAAGAAGACGGTAAGCAAAAGCATTACTTTATTTGTGAAACTGTAATTCTCCATACTTCTACTGTTCTCCACCTTCAGCAGTTTGTTTTGGAACATTCAGGTACATGTTTAACACAATGCTGCAATCTTTTCAGTGGTGGTTGTCCGACCATCTTCACCCCAAGGTCAGACCATGAAATGTCAGTGCTATTTGCAGTTAGCTACCTCTCAGACTCTACAGGTCTCATTTTGCAGCTTAAATATTGATGACAGTAGCATTATAAAAACAGAGTGCCATAATTCCTCCACAACAATGCAAGAGGTTGATAAAGTCACACAGAAAGCGATCACTTCAAGTTATTGCTGCTAGCAGTGGTTCTTTAAGCTAGCCAAAACAATGATGTGGTGTTCTTAGACTTTCGCAGGACTGCATACTTGGCTGTATATGGATTTCCTAATTTAAGCTCAAAAAGTCCAATCTATTGCCAAGAAAAGCCACACTCAGAAGGTGAGCATGGAAATATAGTAGGGTAAGCAGGTAAGCGCACAGTATTTTTATACCTTTCCCTCCCTTCTCACCTACTGAGACAATCCTGCACATTTTGTTTGTCTCTAGTTTCTGAAAACCCAGCTTTTATTTAATGTCTGTGAAGATAGTGGCAAAGGTTGTCATCTTGTGTCTCCCACAGGTGACTATATCACCATCTCATGCTGCCTACGGTACTCCCAGGGTGGGAAAATGTAAGGCACCACAAGTCCTGCAGAAACACACACTTTATTTTACATTTAGCATGTTGGGTTCTGGTCACCCTACTGGTTCTAATTTTGTATTACGCTAAACTATCTAAGCTTTTAGGTATTTCATGCTAAGTATTAGCTAAAGAGTAAAAATATTTATGAGTACTCCATGCAGCGTAATGTATATCAAGAGAGCTCCTTAATTACTAGGCCACCAGTTAGAATGTTTTGCTTGTGCCAAGTCACAAATAGCTTCTTACATACAGAACCAATATGTTGACCTTCCTGTGCAGTGAGAAACTAATGAGACTGAAGATGAATTCTGACCTGCTTTTGGCAGCTGCTGGGGGAAAAAATAAATAAATAAATAAAACAGGGGCATACTAGGTAAAAGCAGGCATTTATGACCTCTCAGTAAAGATGCAGGCCTTTGTGTTGTCACACAGCATGCACGATGATGAGGCAATGTGTTGGCGTAGTGGTCTGACAGCCAGCAGCAGCTGCTGCATTGGGTGACTATATTACTTTACCTTGCAGCCATTTGCAGCCTTAGAGGCACCCCACATTTACATAAAATCATTTATCAGCCACCGTGTTCCAGCACGGTGCACTTTGCTAATACTAATGCTAGTACTAATTCTCCAAAAGAGGCTTATAAGTAGAAGAAGTGACTCAAAACACGGGTGAGAAAAACAAGGTGCCCTTGAAAGTTAAAGTGTGAACCATTTCCCAAGAGATTAATAAACAGAGGAAAGCGAAAAAGAATGAGGATTAGGACGGCATTAGAAAGTCAGCACTACTGATTTAACGCTGGTGGTAATTCTAATGTCAAAGGTCTCGAGGGTATAACTTGTCAGCATTTCCGTTTTTTGTGCGCCTAAATGCCTCCTGCTACTGGTAAGAGGTTAGAGGCAGAGGCAGCTGAGAATTTCAAGGGAACGCGCCTGTACGACAGCATGAATGAGTCGGCATGAATCAGAGATGGGAAAGGATGCAAAAAAGAAGCAGGGAGCCGGAGGGCCAAAGAAAAACGAGGCACAAAAACAATTAGGAGCTCACGAAAATGCACTGCAGTGTTTTCTGCTGCTTTTTCCTCAATATTCTCCTTGAGCACTCTCTCTGATGGTGTGACATATGAACTGCATTAAGCTGCTCTTAATAAGCTGCAGAGTTGCAGAGAGATGAATCACAGTCAGGGGACTTAGCTATATTTGCCATTGGCCATTATCCACCTCTGTAGTGCTGTCCACACTTGGGTGGCTTATCATTCCGTTGCTGATACAGCGGCAGCTGGTAATGCCTCACACATGACAGCTATTGGACAACAACATCAAAACAAGATCCTGGCTGTGTGGTGACAGAAATGTCCAGAGAACAGTGGAGATTTAATTTCCAGAAAATATTCAGACTGTAAACAACGATTGCTGTTAATCGGCGTTAATGACAGAATACTGTAAATCAAACGCAACAGGGTGCAGTTTGCACTCACTTCACGCAGCGCTTCAGGGTCTGTCCCTCGGCGAGATGTTCGGGGAGTTCGTTACAGCCGGCGCAGAACTTGAAAGTTTCCTCCATCCTCTGGAACATCTCTTTGTAGTTGCGGAATGAGATTCCTCTAGCCTTCCCTTCGAGTACAGCCCTGATTAGAGTCAGACACTAAATCATTTGCCAAGCAAGACACATGCTCAAGAATCTGAGGTGTTAAAGTGACATAAAGGGCAAGTTTTGAGCATGTAGGACATGTGAAATTTGTGCAAATTTCTAAAGCGTAACCAATCAAAGCAGTCTGGGTGTTATGAACGTTGGAAAAAAAGAAGAAAAAATGAAAATTGGAAACCTGTATTCTCCATAGTCCTTCAGGTTGAGCTTGTTGAGAATCACCTTTGAGAGTCCAGGTACGTTGGAGTCCAGAGAGTAAAAGCCAGACTGGTCAGAAAAGACGCTGTCAGTCCCCGGAGTGTAGGACTGTGGCAGTGCAGGGATCTGGGATGCCATTATTATGGCCTACACTTTCTACTGGAGAAGAACGAAGCATTAAATAACTATATAAACATATGCACTGCATGGTTTATTAACACCAGGTCTTCAGTTTAAACATGCTGGTTTATATTTTGTGTGTTGTTATCTGCTTAGTAACAGACACAGAGCAGAGCCAGTAGTCAGACTGACAAATGAGAAGAAGCAGGGCTGTAAATGGGGACTTTGGTGCAGGGACACATACCGTTCCATGCCACTCAAGTATTATTTTTTACTACCCAACCCAACCACCACACTACACTCGCACTGCACTGACTGTTTTATGATGACTGGGTTAGCAGGTGTACTGGACTGTTTGAGACCCAGATTTTCACCAAGCCACAGTGAAAGTGGCCTTACATTAATCAGCCTCATACACATTCCTTCCTTTCACTTATGTGAAATGCTGTGAAGGAAACACACAAACCTTGTCCTCAGTTACACTCGCTGACCTGAAAGCCCCGATGAGAACTCTCATGACAAGAAGCTCACACAAATCTGAGACAAGCCAAGGCTCTATTTAGGCATGCTCTTCGAGGTGAGTCATTGTACCTCTGCCCTTCATGGAAATCCTCACATCCCGTGCCCTCCGCGGGTTGAATATCAAATGATTTATTAGCTGGACAGGATGGGCGAGAAATGTGATCATCTGGTGGTGGCACTCCTACATCTCTAGCTCACATACCTCCTTCCGTCCTTCTTTAGAATTTACTGGAAGCAAGTGTTGAATTTGTGCTTAAAATAATGATAATGTATGGCTGTAATTTCCCCACTCGTGTTTTTTTTTTTTTGCGATCAAATATATCTACCTGTCTGGAAGCAGCTGAAAACGTTCCCCTCGCACTAAACCTCAAGCAGTTTGCAGCAATACACAATATTCTGTTGAGAACAGCACAATAAATTCCCCCTCTCACACAGAGACCCTAGTCTTTACTCACAGCAGTCCTCTTTCCCGGAAAAGTTTCCTTCCACTCTGAGGGGATACTGCATCTTTTCAATTTCATATCATGTACTGGGGTGATTTAACCTTAATCATGTGTGCAGACTAAACTCAGAGGCTTATATCTAATTGGTTATTTCATATCTGCACAGCAGCAGGGAAGCTAGGGCTTAGAAGTGAACAGGTTTCCCATGAGAAGGGCAAGTTTTCACTTTTCTCTCCTCATTGGTCTGACCACTGTTTGCATTTTAGCGTACACAGACCTTTCACTAGTCTGAGCATTACTGCTAACGATGAAGATGCCCTGGCTATGTTAGAAGATATGATCGTGGCCGTACCTTTGTTCGTTTCCAAATTAGAAGAGGCTTCCTCCTAGATGATTCTAGAAAGGGGCTGACAGCTCCTTATGCTGGATGTCACAACCTCGGAGAGCCTTTCTGGTGTGTCTGCTGGGTTTTGCAAAAGTGAGCCAAAGTGGGAGGGTTGGGGACTCCTGTCATATGAGGTTAAATGAAGAGGATGTGGGGGGGACTGGATGATTTGGGCAGGGAGGGGTTGCCTTGGAGGTGGGTGCAGGAGCCAAAAAGTGAGGAGTGGAGTGGGGAGCAGGTCATTTTTAGAAAAAGGAGGGAGAGAAGGGAGGGGTGGGTGAAGATTCAAATCAGCTAAATTAGGATGGGGTGAGAGAGGAGGAAGGCTGTATGTTAAAGTAGTTTATGTACCAAAGAGATGTTCTAAAAAAATATGCTCTCAGCAGGGGAGAGGGGGCTCAGAGATGAAAACGATGCACATTACAGGCCAGAAACTGATAAACACCAGAAAACAGATCTGTAAAGCTCAGTGAAAAGTGAAGAAACCAATGTATATGCTTAAAAAAAAAAAAAAAAAAAACAACCACGTTTGATATGGAAATACACTGCTCTTTCAATTAGTCAGTGCTTTTTCCCCTGCAGCTTGAAAGCTTTGACTTCATCTTTTTATTTTATTTTTTTCCTGAACAGGAAAAAAAATTAAATATGCGCATGCATCAGGTTATTTCTATGAGTTCCAAAAACTAAAAATAAATAAATAAATCTGTATACATAAAGGAAATACTACTTCGTAATAATCACCAAAGCCTTTTCATTTTTAAAAAATTTTTTATTTGGTCCATTGGAACCTGAGATTGAAAATTAAACATACATATTTTTGTACACATATACCACGTCCCCGCTCCCAAAAAAAGAGGATCAATAAAATATATTTATATGTCTATATATATATATATATATTTATTTATATATATATATCACATTCTTTAGAGTTCATTATTTTCAGCATTAGGTTACTTTTTTGTATCTACTATCATATTTTAATTTCTTTTTTCAAACGGTCATTTTTTGCTTTTAAATCTTTAGTCTGACTTAAGTTTTCAGTTTTCTGTCTAAATTGTACAATTTACAATGAGGGTCAAAAAAAGAAAAAGGAGGAAAGGAAAAAAAGGGGGGGTTGGATGGGTCTGTCAGTGACCACCTCTTCTCTGGTTGTTTTCTATTCAGCAGCAGGGGGCGCTCCTAAAGCACAGAAGAGCTACGGACAGGACCTAACAGAAGACCAGCAAACAAAACTTAAAACTCCTGTAAAAAGTAAAAGTGATCCAGCAGAGACGCTTGATTTTGAGGTGCCTTCGCAGTCGTTTCAGTGCAGGTTCACGTCAATCCATCTGGGCTCAGAGTGAAGCTGTAAAAGCCTCGTTACATTCCTTTATCTGTCATTCATCAGCTTCAGAAAAACAGGGCTGCAAATCACTTGTATGAATAAATTAAGACACAGGGACTGAAGCAGCTACGTGGCTGCGACCGCACATTCTCACACATGCACACAGGGCCAGATGGGGACGCACATCTGAAAGTGGTCATTACACATTGATGTTTCTTTGGAAAGCATATTTACAGTTACTTGAGCTCTGGGTTTCGTTAAAAACAAACGTTGCACTGCAAGCATCGGGACACAGCGCAGCCATTTAGCATCAATGATTTTAAAAGTAAAAGGAGAAAAATGAGATGATATGAATGATATGATAAAATTGTAATTTCTTTACATTTAAAATGATTTAGATACAAAAAACAACAACAAAAAAATAAATAAATCAAATTTTCTCCCTTTTAATCATTAACTGTATGAATGCTGCTGGATTTTTGCTTATTAGGTTTCAAGTTTTTCTCCATTTCACCACAAAATTAACAGTAAGACATCGTTTTTAAAATAAAAAGTCTCCCACTCAATCCTGTCTCTATAGTACCATGTTAATTGTTCCCCTCTGTCTGATGAGACATCTGTTGCCATGGTGAGGGCATGATGTATGAGGAGTAATGGCTTTGACACTGGGGAAAAAAAACAAAAAACCGTGACCCTATATATAAGGACCTACGTAAAACAGCTATCCCTTGAACGAGCACACTCAGAGAGAACTATTTTCTGTGTCACAACCCATCTCGGGGGTCTCTTTCCTGTCTCGCTGTGTGTGCACCGAGTCTGACAAAATAATCATTTTATTTCACGAGGACTCTGTGTTGTTGCTAACAAGCTGTCAGTGTATTCTTGTGGGAGGATTGCCCAGACGCTCGCGCTGCACCCAAGCAAACAAAAGTGGTCCCTGCCCTCCCAAAGTAAACTCGGCAGCTCCTCTTAAGAGCTCCCCCATGGCAAACTGGCTGTTCAAACAGCCAATAGCGATTCCAGTACTCCCTAAGCACGTTATAGTACAAACTGACATGCTGGCAAACTGTGCAAGCGTGGGAAATAGACACTAAACTCACCTTCTGTACCAAACAAGATCAGATGCAATTTGCTGGGTGTTATAAACCTCAAGTGTAAGACTCATGTAATATGCAGGAGGGCGATGACTGGGAGGAGGTGCCATACACATAAATTTTAATTCATGGGGAAAGATATAAACTGTCTTCTGAAGTGGACGAGAAGCCCTCCAGCGATGAGACCCTAAACTGAGGCCAGGTGATTCCATCACGGCTCAGTATTTCACAAGATAAAAACCTTACAGTCTCTACAAACATGACCCCACTAACATCACAAACAGTGGAGACAACAGTGAAAAGATGCTATTGCAGCTTCTTGGGCACCATCCACCTGCCAATCCAGCTTACTGTACAAATCACAGGTTTGGTCCTGAGCTAGAGATTGTGCCACGGAGAGGGAACAGTACCTTATGAATGATGGCTTTGTCTACAACCTCAAAAAAACCCTAACACAAATATGGACAAGAGGCAATGAGGGTTGTGTATAAAACAAGTTAAACTCACACCGAGATGTTTTCCAAAAATGTAAAAATACAGGACATGTATGTTTCATGGGTAAAATCACTGGGGTTTGGCTCATAAAGTACCGCACTGAGGATAGGGGCGATAAACCCCCCCCAGAAGTCTGCCCACTTTGTTAGCAGTCTTGGTGGACGACACGGGGGGAGGGGGAAGTGTCTGATCTGGTGGTTGGCTCATGGTCCGTGGGCCGGTCAATGGCTCAGTAGTTTCAGCACCTCACCCCGGCTTTTTTTTTTTTTTTGAAGCTCATTGAAAGCAGGGTCATCTCCAAGCATACCAAACTGAGGCCTGACATCTGTTTCACATACAGCAGGTGCTGCCAGCTATACAAAATGTCCAGAATGTTAAGTAGTCAGAACTGGATCCTCTCAGGTGCCGGGGTGAAATATTGTGGGGTTTTTTGTTTGTTTGGTTTTTTTAGTACTCCCCTGTCGCTCATTTTATCCTCAAATGGCACATCCAGTTGGCAAGGGACAGACAGAGCATGTGCAGTCCGGACAAAATCTCGAGCATCCATGGAGCGTTAGGAAGAGAGCAACTAAACGTTTCCCTCTCCCGTCATGCTTCACATTCAGATGCACCACCAAAGAGATGCAAAAAAACGCATCTTTCTCTGCATTTTAGGGATCCACACACTGTGCCTAACCTTGTCTGATTTTTCCAGTGGTCTGACAGTTTATTGGACTAGAGCAAGTGAGTCTGGGATAAAGTGGGCGGTGGTCATAGAGGCCGTGGGCGGTGGTCATAGAGGCCGGGGTCGGTGCAGGCCGTCAATGTCCGGGGTGAGCTGGGGGCTGTGTGTGGCCTTGGTGGGGGTCCAGTCTCCCAGGGAGGCCTGGGCTGCCTTGCGGTGAGCCAGGCGGTGGGTGATGGAGAAGCCGGCATTTCCCTCCAGCTGAGAAAGCACCACCAGCACCTGCCTGCAGGGAGAGAGAGAGAGCCTTCGAGCTATTGTTGTTGACATTTAAATGCAGGTAGAGTGAATACAAACACAGTGGTCTTCAATCGTGCCTTGTGTATGAAACAAAAGTAAGAGACTGAAAACAACCACAGGGGGGAATTGGTTCAACTCTCCAGCATCATTTCTCCTTCGTCATTCAGGAGAAAAGTGCAGCGTCATTTAATTTAATCATGCATTAATGGAAGAAAATTTAAAAAGTGCAGCTACAGCTTCTGACGAAAAGTGGCAAAACAAACGGCTACAACAGTTATCCGATGGCTGCTGACGGACAAGAGCGCCACAGTCGTTTCATCCCACTCCCTCGTCAAAATAATTAAAATGAGTTTCAATTAACTGAATTGAAGCTCGAAGAAGCTAAACCCACATGTGGAGAAAACCAAGCTGATTAATCAGAACCAATGATTCATTCTGTTTTCAAGACAAACTGGGATAATATGGTGACATATGGTGAGAAATAATAAAGGCTTGCTGCCCATGACTGTGCTACTCACACCTCTATGAATATGAATTGGATATGGTCTTCTTTTGAATGATTACATTGCCACTAAATGCTTTCACCTATGAATCGTATAAAGCAAGTGAGCGAAATATGAGACTGTGATAGTTTGCGATAGTAGCTTTTTAGGCAAGCAAAGTGACACTATGTTCTTTTTAGATGGAGAAAATGACAAGAGCAGCTTCATGCATGGTGACTTTTTACAGTTTGCCATTATATGGGCTGTAACTTTGTGACAGGTAAAGCCCTCAATTTTCCCTTATTGGAAGATTTCATGCTGTTAAACAGAAAACTAATAACATGTAAACGGCTTCTGCACGCTTGATTCTCCCAGCATCTATCTGCCTGGAGAAGTGCGAGAAACACAATAGAGACCAGCAGAAAACAAAAGCAGATATTAACTGTGCTGAGACCAGCCTGGGGTAGTTTATTAAGAAACACAGCGCACTAATCCTGTGAGATCACTGTGTTTATATAAGCATGTAAGTGTGGTGGCTATTTGCTGCACCTAAATGTTCCCGGAGAATTTAATCTGTGCACTTGTTATCTTTTCTGACTTTGTGCGCAAGTGAGGAAAAGAGAGAGTGGTTTGTGTACCTGTGTAAAGGCGGGACGCTGTCGATGGTCTTGAGGCTGCCGCGTGTGGACACCACGTTGAAGCTGTCAGTGCAGTCACAGGAGACGTGGAGGTAGTACTTGGGGTGGCGGTTTTCCACCACCACGATGAGACCTGCCCAGCCGTGGGTCAGGTAGTAGCATGTCATGCCCTCACGGCCCTGAGAGCACACAAGGAAACAAGCTTGTTTTTTTTTTTCATTTTTCGAAGCAGAAGGGTTGTTTTCTAAATGCAAACCTCAGATTTCACCACTTGTGCAAAGCTAGCACCACTGATACTACGTCAGCAAAATACAGAACATGGTATCCTACATTTCTATTTAGTAAGAATACAGTATAGTATATATACAGTATCCTATAAAGCACTCACATAGTATAGTATACAGAATTCTATATTTCCAACCATAGGATATCCTATGTTTTCATTAAGTATAGTATGCATGTTTCCACATTGTATACATATAGTATTATATATATATAGAGAGAGAATCCTAAATTTCCATATAGTATAGTATATATACAGTATAATATACTTCCATATAGTACAGTTTATATATACAGTATTTATAATTCCATAGATTTACAGAGCATTGCGGCAACTATCTACAGAGAGGTGGCTACATTTCTGTAAGTATGGCTCATAAATGCTCTTAAAATGCTTTTGAAATAGGAAGAAATGTGCTTAATACAAAGTAGCTTCAATGGAGAAAAAATACTTCTGTGCAATCAGTTTAATATTATTAAAATGCAATAATAATAATAATGATTAAAAAAAAAAAACATTCTGCATTCAGCTGCCACTTTACCTCTCTAACAGTGGCTGCTGTTCTCTTTTAGGGCCACTTGTATTTGTAGTAAAGCAAACACAAGTGCAGCTAAACTACTTTAGCTGCTGTCATTTGCTGTCACGTCCAATTGCACAAGCAATGCCATCCAGTGTCTGAAAAATAGCTTTGGGCATTACTTGTACTCTATCTGCTCTTAACACAAAGCTCTCCTTTCTTCACAGCTCGGGACTGCTCAAATTATTTATTAATAATAACTGAAAATCTTCATTTAACTGTATTGCTAAAACGCTATAGCTGACGCACTGGCTGCAATGTGCTCCTGAGTGCTCAGCTGTGAATTTCTGAAGAGCTGAATGATTTAACAAAGATGATCTCAAGTGTTTAAAAAGCTCTGCCATCCTCTAAAATATTCACCAAATGTGACAGGCGCTTTCAGGAAAGCATTGTTCTGAAGAGCCAGGAGGATTTGTTTCCTTGGGTATGAACGGCCGTGCGCGAGCTCGTGCAAGAGGTAACGCACAGAAACGTGCACGTGTGAAGGCAGAACAGGACTTGCAAGCGTGTAAGATGCCTCAGATTGAGGAGTATGAACCATTCTGACTGTGAGGATTTAGACTGTTGTGCATTTGTTTTTGTTCTGCAGGCTCTGTGCTTTAGCTTGAGGAGGTCAGCATCATATACAAAGATTTGTATGTGGAATTCCTTTTAATAGACTGTCCAAATTGGAGATAGTGGTCCAATAGTGATTGGACAATAGACTATTAAATGTTTCTTAATGTTTCAGATGTACTTTTTCAACCCCATTATTTACTAATTTATGGAATTAATGCAACCAAAGACGTTGGGCCCATCTTAAGAAAGTGTGCACATACGTTAAAACAAAGGAAAAATACAAAAGAAACCCCCAAAAAACTGTGATGCAGGGCTGTGGAACTAACTTCTATGGACAATAAACCAAAAAACAACTCTTATACAAGTTCTGAAAAAAGGAAACGAGTGGAGGGGTAAAAGAGAAGAGCTCACAACACAAAGTGAGCTATCTCGTCTGTCAAAGATGAGATGGAGGTACTTCTAATATGATCTGGTCTTGTACAGCATGGCTGCCAATAGACCGGGAACACAGTGAGTTACTGATGTTTAGACGCAACAGGATAAATGCTGTGAGGTAGGTTGGAGCATTCTGGACAGAATACTCCATCCTGTTAGTGTATTCTTGTGGGAGGATTGCCCAAATTCAGCCAAACTCTGTAGAGGACAGTTCAGCATCCTGCTGTACTACCAAACTGTCAAAACAGGCTCTTCAGGGTGACTAAGTGGAATATCATAGACGAGTTAAAGTGCTAATGAACAGCTAAAACCACACTAAAGTGAAAGAGACCCCACATAAAAAAAGCTGATATTACCTGTGACAAAGGCTATCCCCAATGCCTTTGTCACAGCTACTATCTACTAAATATGATGGTTTTGGTTGGTTAAACTATCTGATTACTTTGGTTATCCCAATGTGTTAAAAGCTTTATCTACTTGTGTATTTTCATTCCAACACATTTAAATTAAATCAGACACGTTCAGGCAGTAGTCTTTCACTTCAAAATAAATTGCTGAAGCGCACAGCCCGGAGATAAAAAAGAAAAACTTTCCAAATACTTATCATCTGGACTGTAATATTATACTGAAAGGCAATAAAACTGCGTGCATGTGAGAAGGAGATTGGGGGTACAAAGAGAGACAAAACCCTACAACTATATAGAGAATTCTCTGCAGTCCTGAGAAAAACTAAATACATCTTTGTCAAAACTGGCTATAATGATCACAAGCACAGTAGCAACTCTACGAGAGAATGACTGCAATGGCCCAGTCAAAGTCCAGACCTCCAAAAGATGGAAGCGCTGCGGTTTAGACCTAAACTCTTTACCTCATGTAATTCTACTAGGAAGGAATCTTAAAGATTTTTTCTGAACTGAGCTATTTGTGGTTAATAGTGATAAGAACAGTCAGGCTCCACAAATTCCTCCACAACAAGAAAGGGATAAAGTCATATAGAAAAACAATTTTTTTTCCCCCAAGTTGTAGCTACTGAACCATGGAGTATATTTAATTTTTAACAGGACCCCACAGAGTTCTGTGAAAACCTTTTTCACTTGACTGTAGCAAGTAACACAAATATGGTTTAAATTATTGCAGCTTTACTACTTCTCTTTTTCTGGAATGAGTGTTTCTAACCTCGTGTCTTTCGCCTTTGTTTTCTGTGAGTAGAATAATCGCGTCGGCCAATGTGGTCGCGGTCGCTTCCACCTGCTCCACCATCACCTGACGAGAGCTGTAAATGGCCAGGATGTAGCCGGGGAAGTCCTGGCTGGGCCGCCGTACTGCTCCACTGGTGGGGCTAGAGACTGGGAAGGAGGGGAGAACAATTAATGAAGACAAAAATTAAAGTTTTTTTTTTGTTTTTTTTTTTAAAGTTCCTTCGTCATTAAGCGAACATTCACAAGCAAGAACACTAAAGCCCTGCCTGTGACCAATGCATCTGTACACTTACTGGGTGTGGGTGGACCCCCTGTGCTGCTGACATTCATCTGCCAGTGATTGAAGGCGCAGCAGACAACAGCATACTCCCCTGGCTCCAGCATAACATCACAGCCAACAAATTTCTTCACTGCTCGCTTGCTGTGGGCCATTAGGCGGCCCAGAGTCAGCTTGTTGCCACTACCAAAGGAGGCACGGAAGACCATGATGCACAGGTCCAGCAGGTGGCTGTCGGCTGTGTCGGAGCGCCTGGAGAGAAGAGGAAGAGGCTTAGGAGAAAAAAGGGCAAGGAGGAAAAATGTGTGGGTACTGAAAGATTTAGATTAGAGTCCTATTTACCTGCTTCCCTCTTGGAAAAGAGCAAACTCCAGTGCCGTCCTCTCCAGCACAGTGAGAGCTGTGACCGTGACTGGCCCATTGGCTTTGCTGGGGAAGCAGCCTTGTAGTCTCACCTCCTGCCAGTCAGAGTGGATCTTACAAATGTCCACTGAGTCAAAGTACCTGTGGGAAGGGGAAAAAATGTACATGTAGGGCTGCTCGATTATGGCAAAAATGATAATCACGATTATTTTCACTGAAATTGAGATCACGATTATTTGACGATATTTATTTAACCCTTTAAGACCTACTATAGAACCAAGTCCACCAGAGCTTATATTATTTATTTTTTTACATGCTGTAGTGTCATTTGTGGGAGCATTTCAAGTTGCTATACATCAATACAACTGTTATAGCCCATATTTTAATAATATGTATGCATTAAGTCCATAGTAATTACATAAATTGCAAAAAAGTGCAATAAACTAAAAAAAATTGAAAATCGCTTTTGTTTTGTTTACATATATTTCTACTTGGAGAAATTTAAGAGGTTTATCCCTCAAAACTTTAAATACAATAAAGTTGCAAAAAATAGTTTCCCACCACAGGAAATTTATTTTGAGTGTCTTCATAGTTTTATTTTGGAGATACAGCAATTTTTATATACTGCAGGAAAAACAAAAAACAATCCTATGATGCAAATTTGCAAAGAAAACAGCATGTGCATCATTTCACTGTGGGAAGTGTTACGAACAGCTGATAGGAACGGCGAAGCGTGTTTCTGGAATATTATGTTTTTGTTCCTGCAAGCGCTTTTTATGCAATTTTTGCAAAGCTATATGTGGAAGGAAACCGTGACCGAGGACAAGCTGATGGCATCAGATGTAAGTACAACTCCTCCGGTTTCATATGCAAAACAAATTATTGCGCTAGCTTACACGGTTCAGGTTCTACAGGGATTTAAAAATAGTTACGCAAAACGGAGCGTGCTGCTCTGACCGGCTTTAAAGGGTTAACAATAACTTTAAAAAAATAATATAACATAGTGTGCAACACCACTGAAGTTTGTTTTTTTTTTAAACTCTCTTTTCAACCAACGGCAGTCACTCTCCAAATAACTTCTGCTTAGCTTTCCGAGCTTCCCTCGGGTCCTCTTAATCAGCGGTCTCCAACCTTTTTTGCACCACGGACGGTTTATGCCCGACAATATTTTCACGGACCGGCCTTTAAGGTGTCGCGGATAAATGAGGGAGGGGCTAATAATCGGCTCAGTCATTTTTAATGATCGTTGAAAGCCCAGATCGTAATCGTGATTAAAATTCGATTAATTGAGCAGCCCTATGTACATGTTTATAAAAATTTTAAAAAAAAAGAAGAAGAAGAAGAAGAAGAAGAAGAAGAAAAAGAAGAAGAAGAAGAAGAAGAAGAAAGAAAAAAGACCTGCATAAGAGCCTGTTCCTCTGAGATGCTAGCAGTGTGACCGGTTGATCTCCTCTTGTCATGAGCTACGATTATTTGTATGCATCACAGGCAACTCTTTAACGTTAGCATAGCCTCTGAGGGCATCCCTGTACAAACACAATTTACCTTGCTAGCATATCAGACCTCTTTCTTCAAAGACATCGGCCCCACGGGAGACTCTCTTCCTTACTTTCAGTCTGTTTTTCAGTGTTTCATCACTTCCTAACCTCGGTCTGACAACAGTCTTACATCTTACTTTTGTCTTGTTGTCAATCAGGAAGAAGCGAGAGGAGGAAAAAGAGGGAACGCTTAAGTTTTACGCTCAGCTTTGATCAGAAAAGACAAACACGTCTGCTGATGAATCCTCTTGTTTGTATTTAGTTCGCTTTTGTGTCTAGCCACCTTCCAGGAATGTTATCAATGATCAACATCGGCCCTGGTTGTTTACTTGATGGGCCAATTTAAGGGCCTTGCTTGTCCGAGAAGCTGACCGCTTTTTCTTTTTCACACTGAAAACAAGTCTAGGGAGATGCTGGCTGCAAGTTTGTCATGTAGTACAAAGCTGAGAGATTATTTGCCTGTCAGAGAAAACAATAAATAGCCCAAAGACATATGGGATTCTCATCTAGGCTGAACACATTTTTCAGGTTGGAGTTATTCAGGAGGACAGCCACATTGTTATTCATGTCCCTCCTCCTTCATAATACAACAAGAGCAATAAATTCAGAGAGACAAATGCACTGTACAGACAATTTAGCCGTACGTCAAGCTGCTCATGTTGTGAACTTCCTCCATTCTTCAGTTCTTTTTGCTGACAGTTATTTAAAAAAAAACAAAAACGAAACTTCCTATGCAAGTGGAGTCTTGTCCATTTATTCAATTACCCATGAAATATCATTTTGGTGAATGGTAGATTATATTTAAGCTTTATTACATTTGTAATTTGGATTCGGTTCAGTTTTCTTCAAATATTATGGCCATTTGAGTTGCTTGTAAAAGGGCCCCATTATAGCCATTTCCAGCTCCGCGTCATTATTCTTTGGCTCCACTAGAGTTGCTTTGCATGACTTTGCTCATGTGCCTCATTCTGCTCTCTGCCTGAAACAAGCAACTTCTCTCTCCTCAACTGTAACCCAACTTTCAACCGATTGGCTGCTCCTGGTAAATCAAGGGGCAGTCCCCACAGACCGTAGCAATAAAGCTAAAGCTTCCGTAGTGGATTACCTAATAATATGGCTTTCTCTGTGGTACCCACCTTTCAAGAAGAAGTTTGTGCTTCAGTTTTAATAAGTGAAATTCCAGTTTCTCTGTTAGTCTATTACTTAGCCCTAATTAGCTTATATGTGTCCTTGTATTGCAGCCATACAGATTACAAATGAAGCTCGCTAACAAGCTAGCTAGCTTTAGCTGATAACTTAGCACTACAGTCTTTAATCCAATTATGGGAACTTCTGACAGCGAAAAGAAAACACAGCAGCCACCAAAACGCTGATGTTGAAGTTTTTAAAAATGTGGTGATCATGGTCATGGGGGCTATGCTGTTTAAACAACAGATGGATGAGGTTGTTGTGTGGACAGGCAGAGGTGTGTAACAGAGATGGCCTTATTGGGGACATTAGTTTCACTGACATCATACAGAGCTAGCCTGAGGTTTGAGCTCATCACTGTTTCCTACTGTGGCCAGTATGAGTATCCATCTATTGTAACAGTAGAGTACAGAACAGGGGTGTTTATAATAAATATATAGGGGGTTAAGGGTGGCTGTAACTCAGGTGGTAAAGCGGGTCGTCTACTAATCGGAAGGTGGTTTGATTATTTGCTCTTCAAGCCTCCGTGTTGTATCCTCGGACAAGTTAGAGAACCCATATCTGCTGCCAATGCATCAGTGTGTGAATGTTTGGTTATAAGTAAAAAATAAAAGGCCTGTGTAAATGGGTGAATGAGGCTTGAAGTAAGAAACTGATTTGAGTGATCAAAGTAAGTAAAAAAGCACTATTTAAGAACACACTCATTTTTTATATGACAAAGAAAATAGCATTTATAGAAATACTTGAATAAAAACTGTGACTATTTTTCCATGTGATAACTAGAAGCGCATGTCAGCATGCAGCAAAACACAGATAGAGAAAAACTAGTCACTATCAATGCTGTATATGACTGAGTGACAGGATTAGTCTAATATGACAAAACAAACTGAAAGCCATGACAAGCCTAAGCCGCTGCCTGCCAAATCCCCCCCTCCACAATTCTTAATAACAACATGTTGTGGAAACCAGTGTATGATGCGCTTGTCAGCAAGCAAAATGGAACGACAACAAAAACACTGTAACTCAGTTTGGTGTCAATACCAGATGGTCAGTAAAATCCACAGAGGGGTGAGATTGCCAAACAGTCCGTCACGTTTAACACATTACGTGTGTCCATCACGGTACGATAAAGGACTCTTTAACTCATTCAACCAATTCTAAGCAGCTAGTGGTGGGTAAATCGAACAGAAAGTCTTCTAATGAGAGTATGTTTGGAATAAACACAAGAAATCTGTGAGCGTAGCCTAGCGGTCACAGCCACTGGTCTATTGTGCCAGCAGGTACAGTCACTGACTGTGAAAGCAAACATGACAGTGATGACAACAAAATAGCCTTATTATACATAACTGTAGGAATTCAAGGGTTACTAGGGTATAGAGAGATTAACCAAAATGATTTCAGCATGACCACCCAAAAAAAGAAAAGGAAAAAAAAGATCACACTTATGCTGCGCTAATGATAATTACTTTATAAAGTCAGTGTACTCCATCCAGAAGACCCCTTCACTACTGCCGTGCGCCATCAGCTCATGGCGGAGGTGCTGAGGCCAGTCTGCCCACTCGTCTGACCAGCTGCCATTCCACGAGAAGCGACCCCAAGGGTTACGCAGCCGCAGCAACCTGGAGGCAGGAAGATAACGGAAACAGCGAGAGAGACAGATTCAGCAAGCAGTAAATGTGACAACAGCTTTCAGTCAAAGCAGCAACCCCCATCTCTGCACAGTCATATTATTCCTTTTATGGATGACTGGCTGCTTTTTAACAACCCTTTTTATTTTACCGCCTCCTCCATACTGTAGAAAACACAAGGGGCATAACAGAATAACATATTGGAGAATCTGTATTTTCCAGGAAAAAAAAGTAACAAAGTGCATGTGGTTCATTGTTTCTGGAGTGCTTTTTATCTCCTCGGGGCTCCTAGCAGGAGGATTGTAACTCGTTTTGGATCTAGCCCTGTGGCCAAGTCTAGCCCAAGCCTTCCACTCTGATTGCTTTATGGCAGTAAATGAAAGTGGCTGCGTGTGGGTTTTAAGCAAATTACTTCTGGGATTTCTGGCTACTGTCAAATTTTTTCCTCACAGGTAAGAAGGAAAAAGCCTTCATTAGGCTTTTCTCATTTTTCTAATTTGTGCCTCCTCAGTCCTCCGTCCTTCTAGACTGTGACCCGGAAATCAATTTCAGTACGCCATGATGAAGGATGACTTAATTCCTAAAATGCATCTGGAGAACAGAGGAGAGGAGAGGCAGAGTTATAATAGAGGATGAACAGACAAGAGGACTAAACTCGCTTTTTTAATCCATACGATGTTCCAGTTATTTATGATAGTCAAAGATTCTGCCCCAGACTTTTCTGTGTGTGTGATTATTACAAAGAAGACATATATGTTCTTATAGTGCAAGGAATTGTGTGGATTCCCAGTGCTGCTCCAAACAGAGCAATCATACAGATCTGTTGTGCACCCGTTCTCTACTGGCAAGCCACCGGGTTCTGTGATGCTCAACATATGGCTCGTGGGCTTGTTCATGTTCTAGCCACCAAATAATAACACTGACTGATGACGGCCCAGATACATTTATTAATGGTGTATGAAGGATTTCTAAGAAGATACATTTGCAATAAGGAGGCGTGCTCAGAACAACAGAGGACACCTGTACCTGTAACCCTGGACATCTCGTACGTCCAAAATGGAATATGCATGTCGAGGTCTCAGACCCAACGACTCATAAACAGCATCGTCTACCTTCATGTTGCCTCCTCCGCAAGACGCTCCCATAAGAAACCTAAAAGACAAGAAATGACATTAGGACACTAATGCAATTACTACTCAGTAACCAGGGAGAAAAACAAAACAAAAAAAAACAAAACACGTAAATTTAAAACTTTAACCTCGAGGTTGAGCAGACACAGTTACAGAAAACAAAAACAATAGTAGTTTTTAGTATATGTCACTAATTAATCCCACTGATGTGCCTCTGTTTGAGACAAAACATCATCAGTGATGAACTTTGTCTCTGTTTACCATAGTACGTGAGTGAAGTCTTCATTAGTACACTGCTTTTGATAAAATAAATAATCATTCTGGCAGATGAAATGGCCCCTTTGGAGTTGCACTATTTGTCTCATGTTGCTTTGAAAGCTCGTGTATCAAAGTGATGACTGGCACAACTTTTATTATGGACACATGCTCTAAATTGGCATTCACCACCTTTGTAGTGCCCCTGTTTGTAGTTTTGATCAGAGAATATTGGTTCAAAGTGTTTTCAAACAAGGTTTATTATTTTATATGCTCCTTTTAAACTGAACCACCTTTACTCCCTCTCTTACCCAGCCTCTTTGGAGCTAAGCATCTTGGCCCAGATGAGGTCTGTATCGATGGGTTCCTCTCGCGGGTTCGTGGAGCTGACCTGAAGCATGAGGGAGTCACACGGAGCCCCTGTCAGCGTGGCCAGACCCTCAATAGCACGCCCTGCCTGCAGGGCAAAGTAGGAACCGTGGAGTTTGGCCAGGGCCTTCTCAATCAGCGCCACCCATAACTGCTTCCTCTGAGCCTGGAATGATTGTAAAAAGTAAGAGAGGAAACATCAGCCTGAGTATGACTCACTGAGAAAGGGAGCAGGATGTTGTCTCTGGGTTAGTTTCCTCTATCTAAAGGTCAATGAAAATGATAACCTGATAACAGAGGTAGGATCTCTTATTTGCTCTTTTTTTATCTGTTAATGTGCATGTGCAATGTTTTTCCAGCATTTCTTGCTTGCTCAGAGGTCACTGCCTCACCGAGCGCGACTTCTACCCTCTTGTTTTGCTCCTTTGTCTTCTTTGAAAAGATGACGTTTGTTGGAGTCATGATAAGGTGTAGATAAGGTGTCACGCTGTCGCAGTGTGTCTCTCCCGTACGCATGAATGCCTGCTTTTATTTGCCTGTGCTTTATTCGTTGCATAATTCAGTACCTCATTTGACCCGTAATTGTTGGCTGTTCATTAATTAGATTCTTCTCTTCACTGGGGTCCTTTGAGATGTGCTTGTGATAAGAAATACATAATCAACTAACTTGAACTAATTAATTGCTTATTTTTCAGGGTTCACCAAGTCAAATGTAATTCTTTTTAAGAGTTGCCCACGAAACGCACTCGTTTTCAGGGTCAAACTAAGGGATGAGAAGGTCTTTACCAAAGTCTTGGATCTGTCAGTTCTCACCGGCAGTAATTTACCCTCATGTTTCAGAGATCTGGAGCAATTAATATGGGACATATCATGTTTTTCTTTATTTTTTGCGTATTAAGAATTCCCAACTTAATACACAGATCTGCAATATTTATTTCCCCAAAATTTCAGACAGTTGTTTGAGTATTTATCCATTTTGTATATGTCTATCTAAAATTCCCTCTTGTCTGTTTACAGTATCAGCATAAACACCTTTCTGCATTGCACTTACCTGGGAAAACAGAAGGTAGCCGTAATCGTCGCAGGGCAACATGTCGTCCACCAGCACCGTCGTCCAGGTCCCGTCTTTACATAGCCGAACCTGGTAAGCCCCCTCTGGACAAATGGTCCTGGTGATCATCACCCTCTCCACGAGCTCTGGACGCTCTGCCAGCACAGCGAGTGCACTCAGGAACCTAGAGACCCGATAAAAATCAATGAACTGGAAAATGAAACGTCACATCAGGACGGACAGACGCGACTAAAACGAGGCACGAAGAAAATGTGAATTAGGCAGAGAAACCACATAAATGATCAGCTGAGTGTGATGGACAAGTGAATGGCTGAATGAGCGCCGTCTTCCATCAAAGAGACAGACATGGTTTAGGAACGTCAACTGATGTGATTAGATAGGAATGGAAAAAAACTGAGAAGCTGCTATTAAAGTCTAAATGTGGAATTAAAGCATTCTCCTGAACAGAGTGCCTCAAACACTTATGAAAGACTTTTTTTTTTTATACATATATACATAATTAGCCCTCATTGAAAATCAATCACATTTGATGAGTCAAGCTTCTGTGCCTTCTGGTTACCTCCCCATTACTCTTAATACACCCCACAGCAAAGACAAACAGGCTTGCTTCCTCTAATTAACTTGCAAGAGAAATTAGCTAATCAAAAATCCAGATAGATGTGGAAAATGGTAATTCTTTACACTGGGGAATCACAGCTGGGGACATGAGGACTCGACTTGAAAGGGAAGAGAGTTTAAAGTGTACATTAGTTCATCGGAAAATGTAGAGAGATCTTTAAACACTATTAATGAAATGGCTCTGCAAAGAAAGGTCTTTTTGGAGGGGACAATGAGCTAAAGGTATTTGCCTCTGCACGCCGCAGACTCACTGCTGTACATGCACTAGTTTGATTCTTCTATCAACAAAAAAAGCAAAAAAGTTTTAAAAAAAAATTGTCAAATTGAGCAGCTACTTTTGCCTCTGGCAGTACTGCAGCAATATCTGAAAAGATAAAAGGAATGCTGCTTTCAGTCTGCACATTATTTTATAGAGTGAAGCTCTTGTGTGGCGGCATTACTAAAGCTATATTCCATCTGTTTAAGTGTCAGCTGAGCACGGCCGATCAACCCATTCAGTCACTGATGAAATACAAATTGGCCAAAAAACAAAAGGAATCCAATGAAAATCCAATTAGCCGCGTCATAATGTGAACTCTGATGTTGGCCTGTACTGCAGCCGTACTCAAGGACAGAGGCGACTGGCACGACTTTCTTCTGCCGTCACTGGTTGGCTGGGCTGGCAGAAGCTGGGCTGTTTGTTGGTTTATTAGGACAAGTGTGAGCATGTGTGAGAGAGTGAGAGAGTGGGGGAGACGAAGCCAATGACAAAGAATTTGGGTTACATCCTGTTTCGAGTGAGAGGATTCTGCTCAGGGGAGGGTTATTTTTGATAAGCTGTGTGCGCTGGTGATGAAGCGAAAAGTTGTACTGGGGACAACTTCCTGACTGACTGTGCTTTGTTGTTATTTTGTGTGTGTGTGTACGTTTATGCTTACAGGAAGATGATGGATGACAACAGCATACACACACATAAACCCCAAAGGGCACCCAGAACAAGGGCAGGGAGATAAAGCATGTGTCCAGGACCACATTACTGTGAATAATCTCCCTGTCACATGTATCTGTACATCTGTCTGCTGTGCTCAACCTTTCATTTCATGCTTACCTTCTTTCCTTTGATTTTTTTGCTTTGTTTTTTAAGTTTCTCTCTTTAATCCTCTTCAATTACTGTTTCACTGCCACGCCATCTCTAGCTCACAGCGGCAGTGTCCATTGAAAGCAGACTCTGACAGACGCACACAGAGAAGTGTTGGCTGTTGTCTGCTTTGCATTCCTCTGACCTTTCTCAGAAACTGAACAGAGACTTAACGGAATGAAAAATTTCCTGTTGCTTTGAGGATCTGCTGCTATTCTATTTTGTCTCCAATCAAACCATGAATCAACAACGCGTTTTTTGTTTTGGTTTTTTATAAGGTTATCTTAAACGATCAGTGTCCTGTGTGTTCTTATGTTCAGGTGTATCAGCTTACCAGCAGTTTCCAAGAAGTCCTTGGAGGATGTCCGAGGGCCTTGGTGTGCGGAACACGGACCACTTGACTCCTCGGTCTTTGAAATTGCTGCAGTTGATCTCGTGGGGACGCAGCCACTTTTTGATTCGCTGCTGGACGCTGTCGCCCTCTGGGAAGCCGACAGATCGAGGTCCGGGGGGGAAACTGTCATCCACAAAGTTCACTGAATTCTGAGAAAGAGGAGGAAAAGACAGAGCGAAAGAAGGCAGAGAGACAAAGGAGTGAAACTACTGAACATGAAAACTACTGAACATGAAAACACCTCATCTTTAAACTCCAAAATCCATTTTAAAATATGATCACTCTTAAAAGGATCTTGTGTGAGGACCTGAAGCATTTCAAACTGCTAATGCAAGTTTTTAAAGAACCAACTATCCTGCAATTTCACATGATTTGCAGGACAGTACAGACCATCACACAAGCCCTGGATTATGCTTTGAGTGAGGGTGAATTACTGCCTTCCACATTTACTTGTTATTCTTTCCACTTTCCACGTGAGATTATTATGTGCACAGTAAAAGCCCAACTGTGGCATCTTGTACTCTCCTAACCAGGATGTGGCACAAAAATGCAAATCACTTTCAAACATTTGGAGCTTCTTGCTTTCTGGCACATTCCCCTGCAGAGTACACCGCATTTTAAATTACATGATGGGTTCTAACACTGCCCCGCTACTGTACACAGGAGTAGAACTACACGGATACTTTAACAGATCCAGACACTGAACCTGACACACTATCTGCCCATCTAAAACTCTCCTGTACAAACCTGAGATGGCAAACAGCCACACACGCCAAACCCCTATCCAGTTTCCCATCTGCCGTGTCAGAAGTGGACTCGGCCAGTTGCATAGCAAGGCAGGCGGAGGGGTGATGTAAAGCGGGCACCCCACTGGCAGTTAGAGTGAAGCGAATCAATTGGTAACCATCCCCCACAATCCAATTCTGTAGCCTGGATGCAGCATTTGCTACTAGACAGAGTCATTTGAAGGCTTCCTTACCACCCTGGCCATTCAAGGTCGTCACGTAGCTTATCGATTCTGTAGTTCACAGGTTTATTTGTGACCCATGTGCAGGCTGTTATCGCAAGGCTTTTTTCGGTTGATATCAATTTAACACAGAGGTGAAGATCAAAGCTTTGTCCCTGCATACACACAGATCCTGAAATTCCAACTAATGCAATTCAAAGAATACAGTCTGTATGTTAACAGACATGAGAAAGACAACTATGATCAGCGACCAAGGGTTAAAGAGTCTGACTTGTTACATACAAACTGCTCTAACCCCAGTTGAGCTGATTTTCCTCTGAGCTTGATGTAAAACAGGAAACATTTTCTTTTTTACTTCATGTGAAATGTATGGAAACCCTCACATTTACAGTTCTATAGTCTCTATTTTAAGAATGAAAACAATATTATATGAATTATTTTAATGTTGGTCCGAAGAGCTTGAAAAAAGTAGCTCGTATCCTCTTGGAATAGAGGTGAAATGTCTTTTAAAACTTTAATCTATTTGTCTTCTTCTTTTTTCCCCCCCCAATCTCTTAAGACTACAATAAACTGGATGACAGGGAACCTACACAGACACACTTTAATGCTGCTACTGATGTGCGCATTTGCGCTACCAAAACCTACCAGATTATGTATCCATTATGTTATCCATTCTTTCTGAACGCAGTGCGTGTGGTTTATCCGGTTGCACTCACATCCTGTATTGTGAGTACCTTTAAGGGTTTTGCCCTAACCCATTTGAAAGACATTATCATCAGCAGAATGATCTGCTGCAGTCTGCCTCAAAGGTTAAAGCCACTTGCCTATTCATATCTGGAGTGTACATGATGCTCTGTGATGTTAATTAGGCGCTTCTGAAACGGCACAGTGATATGACACTCTGGACTGCAGTCTGGACTCAATTTATCATCTGTATGATCCTCTAACAAAAAAATTAAAATCAATGTTTGATCCTTACATTCTTGGTTCAAAACAACCATTTTTCTCTTCTGTGTGGAGCTCTACCTGTGCCTCTATAGGATCCTTCCACAGCCTAAAGACATGCTTGTTAAGTTAATTGGCTGTGGGCATGTATGTAAAGTCTGAATGGTTGTCTGATTCTATGCGTTAACCTGGCAACTTCTCCAGCACCCTATGACAGCTGGGACAGACTGGGATCCCTACAGTGAGAGGAGCAGCAGACCCATTGTGCTGTTCTTGTAAGCATTTGGTTTCATTTAAAGGCTCCTTAGACGTGTTACACAAGACTTTCCACTGTTATTATCGTTAAAAAAAATAAAAAATAAAAAATATATATTTGGAAAGAATGGAGGCTCAACACCTTAGAAAGCCAATTTAGATCGTATTTCCCTTTTTAACTTGCGTCACATCTCTATTAAGATGCAGTGTGTATTTAATGTGAGATTAACCTTGAATTAGCATTAATTCCTCATATCGAATATTCTACAATCCAAGCATCAAAGTTTAAACAATCTGACTTCAGCAGAGTGTAAAATTAGGAATTATAACCACGTATAAAGCAATTTCCTAAATCAGGATTCTGGTGTTGTGGACTCTACAGGATAATTCTCGCTGGCTGTCTTGCCACCTCCGTTTCCATCGCCGTGCACATGTAAGCATGCAAACACTGCAATCAGCCAACTCAGTGCTGAGCTAGGAAAACCAGCTGCTTTCCCATCATTTCCAGACTCAGAACTGGCAGCCATACAAGGCTGTGTCAGTCTCATTCTGATACCCAAGCTACAAAATTAGCATCTTGAAAGCATATTTTATGAAAAAGAAGAAAAAAAAAAAGCCTTCCATGCACAATACTGTAACAAGCAGCGCAAGCCTGGCAAGAAGGTCCTTGATAATATGGCACAAAATTAAGCAACTAAGTAGTATGAAGAGTAGTAAAGAGAAGAACAATCCGCTGCAATGTGGCCTGGTTTTATTGCATAGCACGGAAAGGGAACAGCAAAAAGCAGTTCAATCCATGCTGTGTGTCACAGTTCACAAGTTAAGTTGATGGCTGTTAGCAGCATTTATTTGTTTGGCACAGTGAGTAAGCAGACTGCTCTCAGGCATTAGCACCATGCACACGCACACGTGCCTCTCACCCTCACAACCAATCAGGAAGAGTCAAAAAAGCAAAAGAGGCAAGAGAAAGCAACCACACTCAGGTGAGCGGAGAATATTTTTTATAAAAAACAAAAACAAACTCCAGTTCCAGTTTGGTCCAGTTACAAAACAGTAGAGAAAAAACAGGTGCTCTGAAGCGGTCCCTCCATTCTTGCTGTCAAACTGTACTGCACATCCTGTTACAGCCTAAACAAAAAGCTTTAATCATTATTAAATTTTCACCACTGGCATTTTGGTGCTTGGCAAGTGCTCGTGCCTTGGCAGAGATGGATGAGAGAGACTAGCACCTCTTGTTTACCAATTTACCCCACCTTAATCTCTTTGGCCCGTGAACCCGAGATGCAGCAGTTGATGCCGTCAGTGATTACGTTCACTATAGGGAAGTATATCATTTGTGCTCCCCTCCACTCCAACTCCGTTGCTAAAAATAGGCCAGCTCTACGTTCACCTTAGCAAATACACATGCGCACACACACATCCAGGCTCACACTGACTACTACAGTGGAGAATAGAGTGCAGTCGTGTGGAGAGGGTGGAATGGGGGTGGAGGGGTGTAGTGGGTGGCAAGGGGAAAGTGTATTTTGAGGTATTAGCAGAACAGGATGAGCATGTGGGGATAGATGTGATGGAAGGAGATGGGATAAAAGGAAGATGAAGTACTTTGAAGAGCTCGAGAAAGGGCAGACGTAAAATATTTGAGGAGAAAAAGACAGACGATAAAAGAAAGCGTAGCTTAAATGATGAAATTAGAAGAGGAGAAGGTGGGGATGAGGGATCTCCGATATCCTTCCTTCCTACCGAGCCAACTTCCCTCCCACGCTTGCAGCAGTGAGCCCTGTGACTTTCAAAGAAGGCATTAATAATGCATTCGAAGGCTCACTTTATGCTATTGTAAACATGGCAGGATAGGTGTCATGCTGGTGTAGTAAATGGGCACACATCTGACACCCAAATAAATTCACAGAATAAAAGCCGGCTGGAAACTTAGCTGAATCTAAACGGTCTAACATTCTGCAATGCCCTCATTTTCCTGAGGTGTAATTAGACCAATCAGGTCGGTCTCCCGAGCAGGTGCTGGCGGTCTTAAATGGTTTCAAATGAACCTTTCTGATAGGCCTGAGTAGCTTATCCATGATAACATAATACAGGCTTATCAAAGGTTGGGCACTGCAGAGATAAAGTGAGCCTGAACCAGTTTGATATAAAGAACCGATGTCAGGGTTGCTTACATCATGGCACAGATAAGTGGTATGAGGCCCTGGGCTACGGTGAAAAACTAAACAACATCAATCATCTGGTGTCATACCAAAAAGTGATTTCTAGCATTTGCCAAAAAATGACTGCCTGTAATTAAACTGTTGTAAATTGACTTGTTGATCTTTAATCTGTCAATCATATTTCAAAAATGAATGACATCAAGTCATTTTAATCCAGAAAGAATATTCCTGTCACAAACTAGAGGTTTTTCGGCACAACATTTACAACGGAGAAGCTAGCTGAACTCTCCTGTTAAGCTAGTTATGTTGAGGGTTGAGATATTCTCTTTAAAAACATAATTACTATAAGTATGTTCTTTTTCAATTCAGTAAAAACATCATAATTAACTTTTTGCAGTGTGATATTTGTTTTGAGTGTGCTATAGAAGGACTTCTTGCTGTCTGTCCCGACCTTGGTAAAATTAAAGTACTTAGTTTTGTTTTAAAAGGAAATTACATTCATAATGATATTTCTTATCTCTTACTGAGAGGTCTGCTCCGACACAGTGAAAGGAAATATATTTCATTAAGCAGTGTAAAATCTCTCCAAAATACAAACTAAGCTACAGCTGGACAGAAAAAAAAAAGATGGACATCACCCATTGGTTCAAGTTCCAGCAATGAAGAGTTATCATTTTGTACAATGGCATTTTTGGATTTTGGGAACTAGAATGCTGTTAGTGTGATTAAAATAATATTTGCCTAATAATTGCATAGAAAAATACTCTTAAAGAGACCAACACCACAAACATGGTTTGCAAGTCCAGTTCAGGGGCTCGTATTAGCTGAGGAGATGCCTAGCTTAAAGCTGAAACAGCATCCACCTGTCAGTCAAAGGAGACGCATCAGTTACAGTGAGTCCTAATAAACTGGTGAAACAATTGGGGGGGTGGGGGAGCACAGCAATACAACTGTTGTGACCAAAACATGTTTTGATACCAAAAAGATTGACTTCTGCTGTTGGGCAATTTAATAAGAGAATTTACTAGAATGGACTCATTTTGGAGCAATCCTCAAGTGGCCATTACAGAAACTGTTTTTGGCACTTCCACCTTGGCTTCATTTTCAGCCTTGGAGATTGCTGCTTGAACATAACAATCAGAACAATCAAAAGACACAATCAAACCAAAATAATGCAATCCTCCTGACACAAGAGTCACAGTCGTCAAACAGAATTTCAAAATTCTGTGAAGTGACTTCACTGCAGCTGAGGGCCAGAGGTAATCTGGTTATAAACATTAGACTCTCCATATCCGTAGTTCATTTAGGTGGTAAAGATTCACTGTGTGGTCGTTAAAAACCCAGCTAAGGAAGCAAGCAGAAACATGGCAATAACAAAACCTATTGACATTTCTCTGAAATTAGAGATATTAAAGTAGTGGGAACAATGACAGCACAAAAAGAGGAAATACAATGAGAGAACTGTGCTCTGAAAGGCAATGTGTTCCCTCTGATGCATTACACATTGAAATTAAGCAGCCTTTGATGTCTCAAAGTCAGGACATTCACATGCATGCAAAGTAAGAAAAAAAAAAAAAAAGTTGACTCATGACATGACTAACTCAAAGGAACTAGAACGAATAGTGTACAACCACACTCCAGAAGCAGCCTCAAATTCTCAATAATTACTAACAGCAACATTTTTCTCTTACCTCCCGGCAGAAGCTGACTATGTTCTCCCAAAGCTCCTTTGCCTCGCCCTCATCATTCCGTCGTCGCGCCTCTACATGCATGCTCTCCCTTCTCTTCAGAGGTTTAACCACCTTGCGAAGGGTGAGGTACTGCTGGGGTGTGTGGCATGCTGCGCAGTTCTTGGCTTTGATATCATTGAGCAGCGTGCATGCTGGACAGCTCCACTGTCCTACCTTCTCCTGGAGGCTAGATGAGGTGGAGGACGAAGAAGAACCAGAGGAGGCAACGGCAGAAGAGGATGAAGGAAAGCCCCGGGCCTGTTTACGTATTTTATGACCTGAGGATGATGAAGAAGAGGAAGGTGTGCAGGAGCAAGATGCAGTACCAGGCCCCACTGGGAGGCCACAATGTGTACAGCAGCGGGGTAGAGGCACCTGCTGCTCCTGGAAGCCATGCAGCTTTGAAGAACCACAAGCTGAGCACTTGGGAGCACCTGTAGGGTTGCGCAGGGTGCACTTAGAGCAGGCCCATGTGCTAAAGTCCGGGCTCGAAGGGCTTGCTGGGGTAAAACGTACGGTTTCACAGCCTACTAGGTCGATGAGGTCAGCACCACCCCTTGACGATCTGCAGGTCTCGCACTTCGCTGAGCTGCCTTGGTTGGCCACGGAGCAGCTAGGGCACTTCCAGGTAGAGGCTGATGTGGAAGCAACAGGTAGGTGGGGCGTCAGTGGGTGGTGCTGAGACTCTTCTTCCTCCAAGATACTGAGGCGCTTGCTGGGGTAAGAAGATTCCTGGGGCTGGGCGTGCTTGGGCTTAGCTGGCCTCTGTGGGCCAGGTTGGGGTGGCACACTGGCAGCTGAAGGGGAAGTGGGGCTGGGAGTGTTGGTTCCTGGGTTCGGTGGGCGTCCCGGAGGCGGTACCTCTCGCCTGCTGCGAGGCACAGGATTGTTCTGGAGGGAGGAGAATGAAGTAAAGGTGGAGGCGAGGGCCTGTGAAGACACATGGGGAGCTTCTTGAGGATCACAGGGCGGGGCTGGGGGGGAGTCATCTGTTAGGTCAATCAGTAGCGGGGCCGAAGCGGCTGTGTGAACAGGAAAGCCCAATACTGGCGTGCGCACCTCAGGCACTACCAGCGCTTCTGGGGGGATTTTAGGCAGAGACAGTTTTCTAGGCCCACCACAGGCTGAGCATGAAAGCGCCACAGGGGTGTTGTGAAGTGTGCACCGAGGACAAGCCCAGCCCGCCTGCTGACCCTCCTGACCACCCACCTCTCCATTGCTCTCAGACCGCCGAAACACTTCCTCCTTAGCTGGATGCTGTCCATGGGGCTCAAGTAGCACTGTGGGGGTGATCGTGGGTGTTGGGGGCTCAGTGGGAGCAGAAGGGAGACCATTGGCAGTGGCAGCTATGGTGGTCGTAGGAGGTGTGTGAGTGGCGGGTGATGGACCAAAGCCACAGACCGAGCAGGCTCCAGATCCCTGCGGGTTATTGAGGGTACAGCGGGGACAGGTCCAGCGGTGTTCCTCAGTGCTGCTGAGGCGCAGGATCTGGTTGAGGTCGGGTTTCTGGCGTGGCGCCTCACAGATAGAACAGCGAGGTGCTGCACCGGCATTTAAGAAAGTACAGCGCCCACATGACCACTCACTGCCTTGCACCGCTGCTGCCATGGAGCCTGGAGAGTGAGAGTGGCTGGGGAAAAAAAGGAGAAAAAACAATGAGTCAGAACAGAATGAACCAAACAAATCAGTCAGTAATACATTTTGCCATATAAGTGCTTGGCAAAAATAGATGCATATTAACTATATTGCTGCATAAACGCGCAAGCTATTTCAGTCAAGCGAAGCTTAAAGTGTCAGCAGAGCAAGGGAGAAGAGAAGGAAACGTGACAAGATTTTTCTTATGGAAAAAGCCAGAGAATTCAGGGTGATCACGTAAAGGAAGAAAAGAGCAAACAGCAAAAACAACCCAGAAAACGCAAGACGAGGAGAGGCAGAAAGAGTAGAATAGAAAAATACAGCGCAAGAGGGAAAGATTAGTCAGTGCAGGGGGGGAAAGGGGAAAAAAATCAAATCTCCCTCCTGGGGGCACTGAGGGCAGTAAATCCATACACAATGGCCACCTGATTAGAGCCAGGGAGACAGCGCACAGTGAGGAGGAGCGAGAAGAGAGGAGAGGAGGCTGCTATCGCCTCAGAATACTAGGACAGTGTTGCTTGAGTTTCCCTAACTGACACTCACTAAAACACAGGCGAGAGAGAGGAGGAGGGGAAAAAAGAAAAAAAACAAAACAAAACAGAGAACACACACACACACACACACACACACACACACAATCTTTTCCACTTCATATTAGCGGCTCTCTCCCCTCTCAGTGAATGTTAATGCAGGGTAGATGGGAGCAACTTAAGGTCACGTCAATCTCTTGCCCAAATGAATCTCAAATGGATGAGTCTATTAATTCTCACAGCGCTTATGACTCAGGCATATTTTAAATGGCAAGTCATTCATGCCACTGGAGTTACAGCAAATTTAAAGCTCGCTACTATCCACATATCTTAAGAGGACTCAAACAGAGAAAACAGCACAGAAAGAAATCCATCTATTCGGGCCCCTCGGTTTCTTTCCACCTCTCGCAAACTAAAACCTAAAAAGGAGTCTGTTACTGTGGATTGACGTGTGTACAATCCTTTCTGAGTGCCTGCAATTCAGTCAATCTGACTTATTGATAGAGGGTATATTAGGGGCTTGGAGGGAAGGCAGCACAGTCGGATACTTCCAACTGTGCAGCAGAGAGGGTTGGGGTGGGGGCGGATTGAAGAGGGACAGCCCCAAGGGACGGACACGGTTTCTATCTGGACAAACCCATAAATGTCAGTGTCACTCAGGCTGCTCATGTGTGAACACCAACAGAGAAGGTAATGTGGGGATTTTAGGATAGCTGAGGGGAAGGTGCCAAGAGCTAGGATACTTCAGTGTTTTTCACATTGACCCCAGCAGAGAACATGTTGCCCTCAAAGTCACTGAAGCTTGTTGATCTTCTGTGTGATATTTTGGTTGGAGAACTACATGTGCTGTGTTAAAAGATTTCGTTTAGGGCACGAGCCTGAAACCTTTACAATCAGAGCAGACATTTTTGTACTTCAGCTCTGCATTCCCATTGCAATAATGCATTTGTTGCTTTTTTTCATTTATAGACCAATGGTATTGGTCTTAAAAATATCGGTCAGGTTCTAATTGGGCAAATGAATCATAATTAAAAGTAATCTAAAACACCTGACAATTTATTAGCTTTAAAAATAGCCCAAATAAAAAAGGGAGAACTCCAGGTGCATATCAAGCAAACCAGGAAGACAGCTGCTCTACAGTCACAGGATTGCAAGCTCTAGGTTGGGGTAGGGGTTTGGCACTTAATTGTGACGCCAAACAAACACCACACCCACAGTGTGTAGCAGGTAGCAGTAAGTGTACTGGAAACAATGGTAACACAGGACAACCTTTAGCCAAAACATGAGAACCAATGACCTTAAACTCAGTAGTGCAATTGCTAAAGTCCCCACCAATGCACCCACAAAGTGGACTGGATAAATGACTGTCAAGGCAGGTGAAAAACAGACAAACAGCTGGGCATACAGAAGTTATAGTGAGATCTGAGACTCGATGTAAAACAAACTTTTTCTATAAAAGCATATTCTGATAATTCCTTGTTGCTGACACGGCAGTTTGGAGTGCCTGGGTCCTGCTCCTCTCCCCTGAAGTGCCATGTGTCACGGCCAGCCAACTGCCTTTAGTTCAACTTCATTAAACCTTTCAAATCAAGCGAATCCCCAGATCCCAGGGGGACCTCTTACAGACGACCTCTTGCTCCCAGCGCAATGTCTGTTCCTCTTGTCATCCCTTCTCCCAGAGGTAAAGAGGGAAATGACAAGCAGGAAGAAATGTGAACGTGTTACTTTAGTTGTCTCTTGAGTGTGTGGGTCCTCGCTGCTTGGTTGTATGCTTGCATGAATGCAGGCATCTAGCTATATTTATCCATAGATGCAGCACTGCTGCTAGTTTTATTGTCCACCTACATTTGTGTGTTTTCTCAGGATAGCAAAACTATAGAAGCAGAAGCAAATAGTAGCCTTTAGCACCCCTGAAGTCCACACTGTAAGGAGTAAATTCAGCCTTCTAATGATAAACAAAACATAGAACACACTTTTTCTTTAAAAGCACACAAACGCTTTTATCACTGCATTTATCTGCAATGTCTTCATGGCTGCTCTGCAATATTAAGTGCCCTTCTAGCCACTAACAAAAAAGGGGTGCCAATGAAGTAATGTTCATTGAGTAATAATATTAAGGACATAACTGACATTGTTCATCTAACCACAAAAAAAAGAAAAAAAGAAAATAAAGGTCTGTGGTGTGTCCTGAGACTACAGCCCTGTCTCCGCACCTTCAGCAGCTATGCTAAAAGTAGTTGAATTAAGTGGCAGCACTGTGCCAGCTGGGATGGCACATGTTTACATCATGTTTGGCTCTCTAAAGGTCTGCGTATCTGAGTGCCGCAAACATCAATGACGACAACAAGTGTCAACACCTCATGTTTGATGACAGATTCTACCCTGTGGACATTTATAACTGTCAGGCCTCTTTCATCTACAGCAAGAGAGCAAAGTTGCAGTGTCAGCCACGTGGAGAATTTGTCAAAGCAATTGATGTGGTTCTCACTGGAGCACAGGGATCACAGATTCATTATATTTCCATCTTTAGCTGACACCATGAAAGCTTTTTATTAAAGTGATCAGCCTCAAGGATTTTTTAAAATTATCTTATTGATACTAGTTATAAGCAGCGGTATTTACCTCTCACCCAGTACGGTGTGATGAACAACTATAACCTCTCAATTGGGGTTCTCAATGCATTTTGACTGTACTATGTGCACACCCAGTACAGTACTTTTCAAAAGTTTTGAGCTACCCTTCACTTATTGCATATTCAAACACACATGGAAATACTATATATAAATCAAAATCAGAGTTTGTACAATTCTAAGAAGCACCTTTATTCTTCAACCAAGTCTGAACTTTCTTAGTCAAGCTTTTGTTTTTTTTAGTAGTCTTCAGGAATAGTTCTCCAGACTTCTTGAAGGACAATCAAAGCTCTTCTTTGGATGTTTCTGCCTTTTGTTCTGTTCTCTGTCCAGATGATCCCTCACTGCTTCAATAATGCTGAAGTCTGGGCTCTGGGGAGGCCGATCCATGACTCATGTGTTTTTCCATCCAGGTATGATGTTATTGTACTGGTAGTTTGTTTGGGATCATGGTCAAGCTGTTGTCAATTGAGATACTTTCCCGATGGAAATTGAATTGTTGTTCAAAATCTGATAGTCCTTCAGTGTGTTCATAATTGAATCAGTTTTGACGGGATCCCCAACACCACTGGGTAAAATGCAGCCCCAAACCATGACAGAGCCTCCGCCATGTTGTACAAATAAGTGGAGACACTCACCAGTTGTACAAACTGACAATAATTTAAGCCAAATTTTCAAATCTTTATTTTTTTAAAGGCCGGCTACCTTTTCTTTTGCCCACCACTTGTGCAGTTTCCCCAAATCATTTAAGGACACATTTTGTGGCACACAATTTCAGCTCTTTCAATAAACACCTTGTTGGTGCAAAAATACTATTACATGCCTATCAATTTGTGTTCTCTTTGGCTTTTTTGTACAGGTGACAAGAGACATTAAGAGTTTCAATATTAACAGGAACCTATAAAAAGTACTCCTGTAGCATTTGAGGACTTTCGATCAGAGGTCATGTTCAGAGCTGTTCAAACATAAATGAAACCAGGATTCCTGTAACTCTGCAATGTAAGAGGAAGAATGATTCACAGGCCTGAAGAACTACGGCTTAACCCATTTTTTAAAAACATTTAAATAAAGTCTGGCTGCTTGGAAACAAACTATATAAAGAATTGAGGGGTGGGTCAAGACTTGCACAGGACTATATGTACAATACATGCGTGCAGCAGAGGATGAAGTACTATAGCCTGTGATCCCTGGACCATACTTAAAAGGATGTTTTTAATGTACATGTTCCAGTCACTAACAAAAGTGTGCAGCACGCACACACATACACACAGACACATGCACACACCTTTTGTCCTTGGCCCTGTGCTCACTGGAGCTGGTCTAAAAGTGCCCACTTCAGCTCCTCTGTGTCGCAGACCTGGGCAGTCAGCCAGTAGCTTACACTGAAGAGGAAGAGAATAGAAGAGCACCCTCACCTCTAGAAAGCCTATCTTTCTGCAATGAGGCCCTCAATGAAGCCTGCTGCCCATAAAGTGGTTTCTCTGAAACTGGAATTTCACTTAAGTAAAAACATCTATAACCCTGCGGTGATTTCTCAACACTTCACTGGGTGTCAGACAATCAAAGTTTCAGCAGACTGTTATAAAGAGTACAAGTCTAAAATGTCTTAGTGGAAAATGAGCAAGTCTGTAATATTGCATAAAAAGAGTAAATTAACTTCCACAACTCAGGTGTCTACAAGGAAGTCTTCAGGGTTTAGATAAGAGTACCTACAAACAGCAAACATAGTCAAGATGATCAGTATCTACAGCACCCTGGATACAAGAGATGTCAGAAAGGCTTTAAGAAATGCTACAAAATCACTGATAACTGTGTCTAAGGCCACCTATGGCTCTGGCTACTTGGATTCATTATACATACTGAACTCTAATGCGAGATCAAACGAGGAGAATCTTGCCAGTCTCTCCCTGCCTCGCTGTGAGACATTTGGCCTTTGTGCGACAGTCATTAGCACTGCCTTTCCAAGGTTGGCCCCGAGCCCAGGGCCTGAGGGGAAGGTGTGGAATCGCCACTGGCCATTAGAGGCGCAGTGCTCCTGATTTACTCATTCAACACAAACATAAGCATGGCCACAAAAAAAAAAAGAAAAAAAAAAAGGATGTTATCAGCACAGAAACTGTGGCTGCTGTTGGTAGCCTAGCTCCTTAATGACTGACCACTTTAACATTTTAATTTTTGCATTTGTAGTACTCACCGTATTTGTCTTATAGTACAGTGTCAGTTCTTCTGTACAGTGCAGGCATTGTGATTTTTATTCTTATCTAAAAACGTGCCAAAAATGTCAGCTTCCCACAATTCAAGCATTTAACCTGCTGTCTAATAAATGAAGTCTGACACAGGACCGAGCAGAAATATAAAGCGAGTCAGTCAGCACTTCAGAGATATTAAATGACAGATGGCCTGTCAGTTACCGTAGCGCAAGTGTCATTCAGGCTCTATGACAGTTTGTCTAGCTGAGCTTGAAATTTTTTTGCAAAACACACGTTTCCTCAAAGCCTTGACAACAAACATTAACTAACTACGCCGCAACTATACAGAATCCCATGACCTCAACATAATGTTTACTCAAAATTCTTGCTGCCTGCCTGAGTGCCAGCTGATACGTTTCTTATCATGTGCGTGCACTTGGGACATATATCTGAAAGGAACATACCGAGTCAGCTCTCTGGTATGAAAACATACTTGGCAGACAAAACGCAGACTCCAGCTGTAGGTTGGTGTCGGTACATTTGTGTGCAGCTTGTAGTGAAACACTGATCCAGTGAATATCAAATAGAGTTGGCTGCCTGCGAGCCAATTTGATTTTGTTAAAGTGAAGGAATTTTTCTATCAAATCTATCTAAGCTGAGCTCAGTTTCTGAATGAGGTGAAGCAAACTTGCTCCGCTGTGGGGTGCTCCTATTTAATAATGTATCCAAATGCATACACTGCTGGTTCGAGCATGCCAGTACACCTTACACGCCTGTCTGACGGGAAGAATTGTAAATGTAGCTGCTGCTCTTACACAGCATGCAAGACAACAGAGAAACAGTGTGAGAAAAATCTTGCAAATTTAGTGTCTCACATTTAAATTCAGGTAGCACGAAGCAGCTGCCTAATTTAACATTTTCATACAATCGCTTTAATTTTCGGCACTTAATTACTCATTCACTTAAATCAGAGCATTTAACATCGTTAGGACTCGTTTTTGAAATTTTGCTTGCAATCAGTGAATTTCTACTTGTGCTTTTTCTACTTGATGTGTCCAAGTAGGAATTGCTGGCCTCTAACTTTGATCAACTGTGCTCAACTTCAAACTCAGCAGATTCGTTATCACTTTTTCAGGTATGTAAACTCTGGACTCTGACTCTTAAGGATGTGATTTCCAGGATGTGTGTGACCATGGACTGAATGAGTTTAGATATTAACAGGTCATCATAACCGAAGCGCCTGTAGCATTTACGTTCATGGTTGTTGCGCAAACATAAATAAAACCTGTTCCTGTAACTGTGCAGTATATGAGGAAGAGCAATGCAACACAAGTGACTAATAACAGACTAGTGTGCACTACTACAAAAAAAAAAAAAAAAAAAAAAAAAAAAAAAAAAAAAAAAGAAAATAATCTTTTTTTTTTTTTGACTGGAAATTAGAACCAAAAGCAGCACAGTGTGAGAGTGTTTGCACAATTTGTTTACTCTGGAATATAGTATTCCTGGGAAGACTAACTTTGTAGTGACAGCTCTAGCTCTGTGCATGCAAAGTAGCACCGCATGACCCATATCAGTGAGGATATTAGCCATTTGCTGATCCACTGGTATTGGCATTTATAAACGGCCAATAAATGAAAATTAAGAAATAAAAGAAGAGACTGAAAAAACACCCTTCAAAAATATTACGAGTGTTGACGATGCATAGCTTATCCACCAGGGGGCACTCTGCAACATCACAGTTGGCAACATGCCAGCTGAGTAGGGTCTGAGGCTAAACAAGTAAATAAATAACTTGACATGACAAATTTGTTTCTGGGATTGAAATTCTGATATTTTAAAATATCAGAATCAGTTTTGAAAATCTGATATTTCAGTCAGGATCCTCAAAGTATAGATTTTTCAAACTTGCAAAAAAGTGTTCTTTAACAGTGTGCTTTAGTAAAAAGGCATTTATAGTGTATTAAGGGCCACAAGAATTCTGCATTATTTTTAAGTTACCTGTTAGATCACTGCACTAAACATGTTAGTGTAACTGAGCTCTTTTCAGACTTTACTTCCTGTGGTGAAAGCTGGCCAAAGACGTAAGCCGAGAATCCCGACAAAAACAAAACATGAAAACATCCAAGCAATGATGGAATCAAGAACAACCAGACTTTCCAAATACTTCAAGTGTTTGTTATTGTAATTTACTGTGTGCCATTACTCACAAATATATTTAAAAACAACAAAAAAAACTTTCAGTTTCAGCTTTTGATGCCTGCGCTGCACACAAAACACACCCTTTTGCCCCAAGTAATCATCCACCAAACCTCCAAGGCTATGATGGGAAAACCCTGGCTCAGTGAGCCACACAGTAGTAGAAGGTGCGACCTGGCCAGTCAGCCAGTGAAACCTGCTCCTTCAGTGCTGTTGGAAGCTCTTCCTCCTACAGCGCAGGACAACATGGGTGTGTCCATCGACAGTTTCTAGTAAACGTAGTTGAGTTTTTAATTTCATACTTTGAGAATATGCTGCAACTGACTATTTGCATTGTTATTAAACCCCAATAATTCATGCTTAATCATCCAGGTAAGTAAATCCCAAAAGGTTGGTTCTGTTCATTTGGACCAAGTGTTTTCAGTGGGAGAAACAATTCATCCAAGTGACTTCTTCAGTCTCAGCTGACTGCAGGTTTTCCTAACCCTATAAACAATACATTTGCACAATGACTGAAACTAGCCCACTGAATGAACAATGGGGCAGTGAGGAGCTCACCGCTGAAAACACTATGTCCAGATGAACAGAATCAACCTTTTGGGACATTCTGGACTGTTTTTTGTATACTATGTCACAATACTTTAAACCCTGTAACACCAAATTGTGTCATTTCTGATGGAAGTCTCAAAAACTACATCATGTTTGATTTTTATTCCCTCCAAAAACCCAAATTAATTGCACTATAATTTTTTGGATAATAAATTGCCAAAAAATACTGGATGTAAAATATGATACAAACTAAAATCTATATAAAATTTTTTAATTTAATTTCTTTTTATAATTATTTTTAAATACTCAATTTATAAAAAAAGAAAGCAAAAACAACAAACTTGAATTTCCTGGTAATTTTTTCATGGTTCAGGCTTTACAGGGTTAAAGTCAATTTCTCTCATTTTACAGTGTAATTAAAAGTAAAAGCATCAATCAATAACTCAATATAAATGTCTCCATCGATAGTTCAATATCAGGGCTTCCTTGCACTAACATGAGGTCTGTTAAACCTAATAAATGATCAATAATGCAAATAATTAAGGCTACAGTGCAGTCCGGTGTGTTATACTTTTTTAAATTGCCAAAGCTTATTTTCCCACAGGATTAAACTCCTATGATAAGGTCCGTCGAATGTAAACAATCTCCACAGTTGTTTTACTTTCTTGGAAACCAGTTTTATTACAACGCAAGTTTATCAGGAATGACTTTAATAGGCCATGTAAGCCTGGATGTCTCAGGAGAGCGTGACTGTTTTGAACTGCAAGACAGGCTCCAGATGTAGCTCCCACACAAACTCAAAGTGAGGCTTCTCTGGTGGTAAATATTCAGATGGGTTTTTTTGTTTTTTTTGAGTGAGCGCAGGGAGAGAAGTGGAAATATAGAAACTTAAAACTTATATAATGTTAGAAAAAAAGTCTTGGTTGCTGTGCACTTGAAGATGAACAGATAGATGTTTTTAAAGTAGAAGAGAAAATGGGGGTGATTTTCATAACTGTCAGCAGGGTTTCAGAGCCCTGGCATTCCTATTTGTACTTTTTATATTATTTTTTTTTACCTCTTACATGCAAACAGTACTGGCAGGCAGTAGGAGTGGCAACTCTTCTTCGACAGCACAGAGCTTTTTATTGGAGAGAAAAAAAGAGAGACCTATCAGACACCAATATGTCCTTGGATCAGACGAGCTGTAAAAATGGATAATGAAAGCTGAAACATTCTGCTGCTTCTGAACACACCCTGTGTGCTGTGACGGGGATTAGATCAGCACTTTTACACCATCTCTGCCACACTCGAGAAAACCGAGAATTTATTTTAACCCCCATCAGTAATGAATGCAGCCTGCCTGTAACAGTCTCACAGACAGGAACTTTTTGACTTTATTAAAGTACTTTTCTCACTTACAAGACTAGAGTACGTGTTCCTCCTTAAAAAAAAAAATAAAGATACATTTCTGTTACGTGGAAGTTCTTTCTGTTTTCTGAAGAAACTGATGAGTCAGGGTCACCGATTAACAGGAACCTGTTTTTTTTCCTACATGACAGGTAATTCTGTGATGAATATGACTCACTCACATCAACCCTTATGGGTTTTTTTGCAGAGATAAGCCATTAAGTGATACTTGTTTGCAGTAATCTAGAGCACCAGCAGTTAAAAAGAAACTTGGTGACGTGATACAAAGGATTGGAGACAGCAAAGCCTTAATCACACGGGACAATAGAAATATAATTCAGAAAGTTTTAATTAAGTCTTTCCAAGACTTCTTGAGATAGAACATTAAGATGGGCAATTTTAAGATGTTGACAGTGGTACAAAGACTCATACCAGACGAGCTCTTTTGAGAAACTGCCCTTAGGCAGCCAGAAAGTACGGGAGAAACTATACACTGAGAGCAACTTTAAAAATTAAACACACATTCCCTTGTTATGAAACCTAAATATTATTGGAAGCTTTACACAATATAACCTTTGCTTCTAAACAGAGTAAATCAGTGTGTGAATTTCTGATCAGTTTCAACATTTGTATTCTCACTTTTTAGTTCACACTACTTATGATGAAGGACTCAAACCATATATGTATTATCACACTGATTTAAGAACTACCAATCACTTCTGCAAATACCAGTGAGAAAGGAAAAAATGGAGAAAAGGAATGAAACAATAACAGCGGCTTCTGACCTCTCGCTGTGCCCTCGGTGAATATTTCACGACCAGCGCTCGTTTTTTGATGGGTGAATCTGTCAGCGGTGGAGACAGCTTCAGACATTTGAATCTTTAAACAGAGGAAACTGTCTGACTGGGTTGCAACAGACATCAGTAATGGAGCAAAGCGAGCGCAAGCAGGAAGCTAGCAGGAAGCTCCAGAATCAGAGAGGAAGAAGGGAAAGAGATGGCAGGGGCACAGAGCTAATCTGAAGTTCCTGGGGGCACCCAAATCTGAAGGGGCCGAGGACACTGCTGACGCAGCTGTGCCTTGAGCCCGGGGGCAACTTCTAAAACAGTTCCACCCCTGTTACTGCGACACAAATCTAACCCGGGAAGGCAGACCAGCAAAAACCACCTGCCACGGGAAAGCACTAGTTTCTACGTGAAACCATTAACATTAACGTGAATTATACCCTTTCTCCATAGGTGTAATTCAGCAGCAGCAGAGTTTTCGTTCTGTGCGAGACAGACAGGTTATTATGTGCCGTCTTATCTTGGGCCCAGTGGAATTAGGTTACTGAACATATGCTACACATTTCCATGGCAACAAGAGTGGGGAAATCTGGAATCATGTCATTTGCAGAGCCAACGGGCGTTTTTGTTTTTTTTCCTCCTCCTTCTTTTCCCCTGCTGCATCCCTGCACTGTTTTCCACAGAAAGCCACGCTGTGAGACAACGCTTCCATGCCAAGTCTATTCTGGTTGGGGACTGTCCTGACGCGGCCCTGTCTCCATCAGATGAGGCAACGGCAAGGGAGAGAACAGGCTGAAATAATTCAGACATAAACGCGGCCAGCGACCATGCTTGTTGAGCCCAAGTGGACCTGTTTTAATCCAATTAAAGAGAGCACAGCCAGTGGAACGCGGTCGCAATAAACGCCGTCATCCATCATGCTGGGACAGCAGAGACTGGGAGCAACTCTGCAGAGAGCAGACACCGACCTTAGGGCCCCCGTAATGCGACGTGTAACGTAGGATGCTAGGAGTATGCGGCTGAAATGCAATGAAGCAGTCACATTTGTGACTTCACACTATAAGCACTGTGATAAAACTTAACTGCGCTGCCGTAATTACAATAGCGTCATGACTGAGATTCCAAAGTTGCATAACACTGGCTTCCTTTATAACATTCATCTTATCTGAAGACAAGCAGTCACATTAACAGAGTGTGCATTTCTCTCCTGTATATTTGTGAGTTTGCTGGCTCGCTAAATCGCTTTGGAGAATGACCTGAAAAGTAACAACGTAAGAAATTCAAAAATAAATAAATAAACTGAAACACAGGCATGTAAACTTTCACACTTTTGGCGTGAGACACCTTTTCTCAGTCTTTTTCACACTGCCACATGAATCTCTCGCAACAAATAACAGGAAGTCTCAAAGCTGACGCTTTACCCAAAAATCTTTTTCTTTTTTCTTAAGTTCGGCACCACACTTGTACATAAACAGCACAGAGAGCACAAAAGACACAGTTTGTGCCCCATTAAGCTGCCGGAGGCACACACAAAACCCCTCTCCAAAAGTCATTAAACTCTTCTCATATATGTTCAGTTTTTCCTTCATTTACTTTACTCTGAAATCTCAGATCCATTACAGATGTGAAAATACTAGCTTACTTACTCAAGCATTTTTACTGCAGTAACGAGTAGGTTATAGACCAGAGTAAAGATGTAAATGTCCGGTTTGCCAAAAAAATAAGAGGAGCTGGAAAAATGTGTTAATTCCAGCTGTTTACAAAAGCCTATTTTCTTTTTTTCCTTTTTTTTTTTAATACCTCCAGCATCAGAAAGCCTTAGAATCCTTCCATGTGCGCTTAGAAGGAAGAGAGTTGTACACAGTTACACACTGGACAACAGTCATAACCTCATAGATTGGGATCTAAAGTCACGTACACATATGGTGGATGCTTCAGGCTGTGATGCCTGGGTAAGAATGTGTACACACATATTTACAACCCAATCGTGTGTCAGTCAATAGTTTCCTTCACTCTCATTGGTAGCTGCTTGATTGATTGATTGATTGATTGATTGGTAATTTATTTCAACATGTGAACAATATACAAGTACATTTAGAAAAGAAAACAAGAGAGAGAAAAAATACTATACAAATTACAATGAGTAGCCTAAAGTTTGAGAAGAGTTTAACTTCTCTTGTCCTCCCGTGTAGACAGCCCTTAAACAGAGTAATTTTGTGTATTTCACATCAGACAGTTGAGCTTATTCTGCAGAGGTGCATGGATATCAACCTGCATGGAAAGAAGGCTGCGGGTGCTGGCACAGCTAATGTTAGACACACTCAGCAGACTGATCAGTGTACAATTTCATGCACTGGGCTGAACGCCACATTTCACATTCAAGCCGCATTTAAAAACAATCTGATTATCGAAGAATGTGATTAAGAGACTCTAAATCCAAATGCAGAGACAACACTTAACCACATTGCTAAAAGTGTGCTAAAATGTTTCTGTCTTCTGGCTTGTTTTCTTACTTTCATCCAAGTCACTTAGTCTGACATTTTTTTCCTCACATTTAATGATTAGTATATTAGTCCCAAAGACTATCAATAGATCTGTTTCCTATACCCTCTTCAATTATCAAATTAGCTACCAATTTACAGCTGCCATGTTAAGATGCATGTGTACCTAATGCAGTAAGTGTCACTTGACGCGCCATCAGATCTCAAACAGTTTATAACATCATGTGGCTACTGTGGCTAGTTCTGTCACCCTCACTGAATTTGAGCTGTGAGCCACATTAACGTCTGAACGACAGAACGCCACTGCTTTAAAGGATTAATGAAGCCAGCAATGCTATTAAATGTCCCATTTTGGGAGTGTGCACAAGTGCACTTATGTTGCACATCTCTGTGTGATAAGTGGGCTGTTATCATGAGTGAACCTTCACAGCTGAGGTGCTGAATCAAGGCACACAAAAACACTTCCCAAAGTCAATGGGGTTTACTGCTGGACGCAAACAAACTGAAATTACTCAAGGACAAGTCTGTTCATGCAGTCTCCAAGGTAGAGGGAAAAAAGAAAGAAAAAGGAGGGAAAGAAAATGGTTTATAGGGCAATATATTAGAGAATAAAGCGTAAGAGAATTGCTGAAGTTTAGCTGGACTCATGGTGTACTGTTGTTTCTATATTTCATGCTCTGTCACAGCTCAGCAAAGCTTGCCTAACGTTGTTAGGCTCACACAGTGGTGTGTACATGGACAAAAGACTGAGTGAACATGAGAGAGAGGGTGAGTGGGGTAGATGAGAGAGCACGTTCAAGTGGTACGGCAATGTCTTTCTAAAACATCTATTGTCTGTGTGTGCGTGTGTGTGTCCCTCCATGCCTTCCAGCAGCAGACAGAAACGGACTGCATGCACTCGACTGACTGAGAGTGTAGTCTGATTGGTGCTGAAGGCACAGTCTTGTTGCTACAGAGATGCACAAACAAAAGATTCTGCTGAATGAAAAGCAAATAAACTGTATGATGTCAAACTACACTGACAGTACGAGCCAGATTTAAGTTTTAATCATGAATTCAGCAATATTTACGGAGCCATGCTCGAGCCTGGGCATTGAAAAAACACGCCTGGTTCCTTATCTTGGCCTACAACACTCACAAAAGAGAGCCTACATCTCCAGACTTCTGCTTCATGGTTAAATAAAACAAAACAAACAAAAAAAAGAAACAAAAAAACCCCAAGAGAACCTTGAAACAATAAGACAAGGAAGCCTTGACAGACTTAACTGTTAAACGTGGCGCAACTGCAAGCAAAGCATCGACAGCAGTGGGCAGGAATCAAGAAAGATGAAAGCCCAACTGGAGACTGATTGCTGAATAAATAATGACATCCATTGTGGGGAAATGTGATCGGCCTCTCTGAAAATCAATAACTAACAACCAGACCATGATGCCCTGAGTGACTCAGCAACAACTTCAATACACTGCAGACGGTCGATATCAACTGCCTGTTCTTGTTCCGGGAGACATGACCTAAAAAAAAAAAAAAAATTTAAAAAAAGAGGGGAAAAAAAGGCAGGAGGAAAACTGGAAACACTTCTAAATAGGTTTCTGTGAGGGCGGTTGGGAAGATCAGGCTTTGGAAGAAAGTCAGTCAAAACTGCCAGATGTGCGGCACATTCAAAGCTTCTCACAAACTCCTGTGTGCCGCTGTTCTGACAGCGAATCAGAGATTCAGAAGGCACACACCAGAACAATGGATTAATGCAGCCTTTCTTGCAGATGCACTGAGTGAATCTATCTTATTCATACAAAAAGGAATAGCGTTGTCTCTTCCACAAAGGAGTTTGTTCAGCTACACATAAACCTTTCTCAACCCAAAACTCTGAAAAATCTGTGTTTTACTCTGAAAACTCACAGCTATGTTTGACGGGCAAACTGAGGAGCCTCTAAAACACAGAAAGGGTTATTTTGTGGGTCAACAAATAGATATCCATGATCACACTAAATTCATATTTTAATTAATCCTTTGGCAGGGTTTCATTGCATTGGTTTCACTGAGCCTAGGTCATTCCATCTGCCCATTCAGTCCCCTCTGCCCTGCCTCATTTGCAGCACATACTGTACAGCCGAGCTAGGAGGAGGTGGGATTTTGTTTGACAAATCCGGCTTAGTCAGATTTTGGGTGCATCATAGAAAAACATCAAAATGCAGGCTTTGATTAGATAAGCTTTGATGAGACAGTGGATTTGATCCATAGCTGAGGGGTTAGCGAATCCTCAGTAAGTGTTTCTGTAAGACTATAAAAGAGAGCGCAGCACATTTCTTAAGCCAACAACGCAAATGAGCAGCATCACTCAATTGCAAAAATTAAATACCTCTTTAAGGCTGCCATTAACTGCCCCCGACCCGACCCGAGTGTGCTCAATGTGAGAGAAGTGCTTGATTGGTTAGACAGCGCTGCCCCTTACCTGCGCTCTCGATGAGGCAACGGCTGCTGCTGCTGCCGTGTGATGAAGGTGGTACCCCACACGGGGCTGCTGTGGCTGTTCCTGAGCCAGCCCACAGGGGGTGACGAAGGGTAGGGGGTACTTCGAAAGCCATGGTCCGACTCGGTCTCTGCAGTGAGAGACGAGGCTGAACTCCCCATCACCACGGAGATAAGAAGTTAGTTTCTAAATGTTGTTTTTTCTGTTTTGGGGGTTTTCTTTCTTTGTATTTCCCTAAAGCACCAAATATGACAAGGGATCCACTGTTGCACCCAGTTGGGCACACAGGAAGCCTTCAGAAGAACACAAACAACCCTTATCATGTGGTCTTTGCTTCCCGTTGGCAATTTTCAGCTACGAATATGAAGAATTTCCTCCTTCAAATAACACCAAGGATCCCTCTGGGAAAGAAAGTATTTATAACAAAAAAAGAAAAGAAAAAAAACAGCAACAGGATGGCAAATAGAAAAAAGAAGAAGAAGGGTACTCAAATGAGTTTAACTTGCAGGTGGCCAAGTATCCACAACAGGGTGGAAGTTCTCAATTCAAACAGTAAATTGAGGCAAGAAGCGGCGATTCCAATGGAACAGCTGGCGTCACAGAGGAGAAAATAAAATTTTCTCACAGCAAAGCCTTGTAATTCTCCCTTTTGTAGACTTTAAGCTTGTAACACTCTGCACCAAGTCTTCCATAGTGCCACTCATAATTCCTTGCGTGTTCATTCTCACACATCTCCCCAGCCTGTGCAGCAAAAGTCTTGTGCTGCTTCCTCTTCCTTTCACACATGCTCGGAAAAATGTCTCAAAAAAAAGGAAAAGGAAAACGTGTGCACGTAAAAGTGTTCACTGTCTTAAAACTTTGCAGCAACAAAACCAGACACCTCCAAAAAGTGTTACGTTTAAGATAAACTCGCAAAAGGACACCAAGATGACCCCACTGTCCATGAAGTTAGCTGATAATGTTGCAGATTAGTAGTGGCACAGATGATGTTGTAGAGGGGGGGGGGGCGGGGGGGGGGGGGGGGGGGGAAGAGTCACACAAAAGTTATTTGCAAGAAGGAAATCAATGCATCGCATTTCGTGGGAGCAGTGTTGGCAACACTACAAGTATGCAAATAGCCAAGTGTCCCCTTTCAGACATTCAGTCTGACTAACAGCTGTTGTGGAGGTTTACCAGTAAAACAGCCCAGCTGCATTTCTCTCACAGGAGAAAACATAATGTTTGAAAGCGTGAGGAAGGGCCATTTCACACAGATCAATTCGGAAATGTGCAGAATCCCTGCACTTCATGTGAATTAAATCTCAAAGCAACACCGGCCACGGGCGTGTTTACCTCAACAGCTGTCACAGCACGAACATGTTTACAACTCAGTTTCAACTTTTGAGCAATATCCAAGTAAACACCCGAGAGCAATGCTCCGTGTCATGCTGCGGTGCTGTGCCAGCACAAGGACTGGAGATGATCCTAGATTCTTCTGTCTGAGAGTCACAGCTTAATTTCTGTCTGATCCCACAGCCTAGGCAGGCCACTTCAGTTCATCATCTTGCGCTCGGATTTATGCGGGGTTGCCAGTTTGTCATAGCAGGTCTATGCATGCGAAGCGACACAGGGAAAGGAGTATCCCCACAGCCACGGCGTCAGAGACTAACTACATTTGCATGGGTGATTTTAGGAGTATCGACAGTTTGTAAACACCCCGGTGCTCCCTGGTCTGCTTGAGCTTTGATAGGCATCAAGTATTAGCTGATCGCTGTGCCCACGGGTCGCTCGCATGGGATCGGATCCGTAGTTTGGCTTTACGGGTTCGGTGAACGTCACACTAAAAACACACGCGTATGTGAGCTTTCAACTAAGTCCTGTTAGCATAACTGCAAAGCGTTACTCATTTGAAAAAGAAAGAAAAAAGGTGATCAGTTTCCACAGCGGTACACAGGGCCATGGAGAGTAATGTGCATGAAGCAGGAAGCGATCCGCAGGCTTTGGGAGAAGCGTGAATACCCGAAGATGTTTCGTTCGTCCAGGCAGGAGAAAGAAGAAG